CCCCCCCCCCCCCCCCCGGCTCATGTGACTGCTAAGCCTGGGAATATGTGGCCTAAGGGCAGACTTGCAAGTCCACAAGGGTCAAAAAGAATTGAAATGGTGAATGAGCCAGGGCATGGTGACTCCGGAGGCAGAGGCAGGCAGATCTCTGTGATTCCAGGCCAGCTTGGTCTACAGAGTAAGTTCCAGGACAGCCAGGACTACACAGAGAAACTCTGTATCCAAAAAAAAAAAAAAACAAAAAAACAAAAATAAAAACAAAAACAAAAAACCCAAAATGAAACACTACATGCTGGCAATCTGGGGGAACCTTTTTTTCCCTCTTGGTGTGTGGTGTTGTGTGTATGTATGTGCTCGCTTGTTCACATGTGTCATATGGGTACAAATGCATGTGTAGAGTCCAGAGTATGATGTCAGTATCACTCTTCTAGTTTACTTAGCCAGAGCTCCAGACTTGGCTAGTCTAGCCAGCCAGCTTACCCTGGGGATCTTCTGTCTACCTGAGTATTGGTAATACAGGTGGCTCACCATACCTGATGGCTTTTTATGGAGTTGCTGGGGATTCAAGTCCCCATGCTTGTATGGCAAGTGAGTTTTTTATCTTCACAGTCCCAGATGTAGTTCAGGCTTGCCTCAACTTTGTGATCTTCCTGCCTCCACCCCGTTAGTGTTTCCTATTGGTATGGGCTACCACAACTGGCATAGGCCTTTTAGGGCGTCCATTCCCCCACCCACAGGCTCAGAGGTGCTCTGCAGGTTGGTGCAGGTGTGCCGAGACCATAGCATAAGGGCTAGAGCCTTTTCTTTTATTTTTATGTTTTACTTATTTTTTTTAGACGGGTTATCAGGCTGGCCTGGAGATTTATATGCAGACTAGGCTAGCTTCAAATTCATAGAGAGCTATCAGCTTCTACTTCCCAAAATGCTGGGAATAAAAGTGTCCACCACCATGCCTGGCAACAGCTCCTGCCCCTGTCCATGGTACTGTATTATAACTCACTATGCAGACCAGGTTGGCCTTGAACTGACAAGAGATCTGCCTGCCTCTGCCTCCAGAGTGCTGGAATTAAAGGAATGTACCATCGCATCTGGGGCCTTAAGAGCTGACTAGTCTAACTGCTTTAGATTGCTAGGCGTCAAGTGGTAGGTTCCTGAGAGACAGGCTGAATTAAGTTAGGGCTTACAAAACAGCATCAGAACTTTCAAGAACCACCACGGCCTTCATTAATCACCAGCAGGTGACCCTTTCCCTGTGCAGCAGACAGGTGAGCTGACTTATTGGACCAGAAGCTGTCCCAGCATGGGCTTGCAGGGATGGGAGATGAGGGGAAAGTGGCTGCTTGGGTAGTCCTGTCTGGGTTGCATGTACACCTAACTCTGCCACAGCCACACAGCTTGGCTGTGAGGGACATGGTGACTGACCCTCTCCAGTTAGGATTCCAAAACTAGATCAGATGGTACCACCGAGACATCCCCAGAGTCAGAAAACCACTGCCATCTTTGAGGACCACTGGGTCTGATTCTGCTTTGTGTCCATCCAGCGTGGGGACAGGAAGAAGGGAGCTTCAGGTATAAACCCAAGTGGAACCCTCCAGCCAGTTCAAGGATAGAGCCTGAGAGACACAGGAAGATTGTCTCAAAACAATCTCTGTATCATGCTTGTACAACAAAGTATCTCAACCTTGGGGGTGGAGAGATACTCAGTAGTTAAGAGCTCTCACTGTTTTTCTAGGAGACCTGAGTTCAGTTGCCAGCATCCCTATCAGGTGGCTCACAATTGCCTGTAACTCCAGCTCCAGGGAACACAATGCCTTCGGCCTCTGAGGGCATCAGCACTTATGTGAATATACACCCCCTCCCACACTTAAAATAATAAAAATAAATTCTTTAAAAAACAAAATAGGAGACCTTCTATCTTTTCAGACAAAACAAAAGGTTCAGTATGCACACCCTCATTCTTGAATTTCTCTAGCTTTCTCTCACTTGGTTCCCATCTCTAAAGCCACATGGATAGTGGCTGTTAAAGGTCACAATTCTTCCATGCTCTGGTCATGGGTGGAGCAAGAGGAACTTTTCTTCTGGTAGCCCTGCCAGGTGCTAGACCACTGGTATCTGGTCACAGGAGAAAAGAATTCTAAAAGGACTAGGAGTCACACAGCTGCCTCCTAAGGCCTGACTTCCTGGGAGGTCACCTAGGGACAGCTGGGAAGTTTCCTAGCTGTCTCTTCTAGCACCAGGCCTGGAAGCGCACAGATGCAGCTTTGCACGTGGGTGGCTCTTACTGGCTGAGGTGCAGCCCCATTTCCTGGAGGGCTTGTTCCTGCTCCTCGCAGACCTTCTGTAACTCTGCCTTCTCATCCTGGAGTTCCCGAAGTTCCTGAAATAGACGAGCCACATGTCACACACAACTACATCTTCCTTTTTAAATGTTTAGTAACAAGTGTGGTCAGGAGATCAGAATGCCTTGAAGAAGAAAGGAATAGTTTTGTTGGATGAATAGCACCCAAGAGAGGGTTCTCTTATAGATAACTTTGTATCAGCTAGGGGCAGATGATATACTGAGTTTGAGACCAGCCTGGCCTCCAGGAGACCTCAAACAACAACTACAACCGGCTCTAAACTGGATACAATAATGCAGGACAGGGATGAGACACATTCAGGCCAATTAAGAACAGTTACATGGGCTGGGCATGGAGGCAAACACTTTTAATCCCAGCACTCAGGAGGCAGAGGCAGGCAGATCTCTGAGTTTGAGGCCAGCCTGATCTAGACCTAGTTCCAAGACAGCCAGGGCTACACAGAGAAAACTTGTTGCTAAAAACCAAAAACCAGAAGCCACAACCACCTGCCATAAAGTCTATTTTAAAATATCTTTGGAGAAAGAAAAAAAAAGTCTTTGGGCAAAGAAGATGGCTCAGTGGGTTAAGACACTTTTCACCAAGTCTGAAAACTTGACTGACTTCTAAGATCCACACAGTGGAAGAAGAAAACTGATAAGGCTGTCCTCTGACCTCCACATGTGCACACACAGTAAATACATTGAGTAAAGTATTTCTAAAAGACTTTTGGGGGGGGGGTTTCAGACAGGGTTTCTCTGTGTAACAGTCCTAGCTGTCCTAGAACTTGGTGTGGGATGTCCCTCTGTATATGTGTTGCTTTTATTGGTTACTGAATAAAGCTGTTCTGGTCAATGGTTTAGCGGAGTAAAGCCAGGCAGGAAATCCGAACAGAGAAAGAGAGAGTAGGCAGAGTCAAAGAGACGCCCTGTAACTGCCAAAGGAGTAATACGCTGGCACCACCAGTAAGACACAGCCTCGTGGGGATACACAGATTAATACAAATGAGTTAAGACAAAAGAGCTAGTTAGGAACACGTTAGAGCCATCAGCCAAACCGTATTGTAATTAATATAGTTTTTGTGTGATTATCCAGGTCTGGGCAGCTGGGAAACAGTCTCTATTTATGAGAACCAGCTCTTGTAGACCAGGTTGGCCTCAAACTCACAGAAATTCACCTTCTTCTGCCTCCAGAGTGCTGGGATTAAAGAAGTGCACCACCACTGCCTGGTGATCTAAAAGACCTTTCATAAAATTCTAATTGCTTTGTATTGGCTAGTCCTGGAATTCTTTTCTTCACCAAACTCTGGATTTGTCTAAGTCAAGGTCTCTAAAAGATGAAAGAACTGGGCATGGTGGCACACACCTTGAGTCCCAGGACCCAGGAGGCAGAGGCAGGTAGATTTCTGTGAGTTCAAGGTCACTCGGCTCTATACATAAACTTTCTGGCCAGCCAGAACAATACAGTAAGACCCTGTCTCAAAACAAAAAGATGACAGCAACTCCCCAGGCTGCTGAGAGTGACAGTGAGGAGCCTGCTCCGCTGAGGGCGTCACCAAGCCTGCTGTGCAGAATGCTGTTGTAGAATATATGTTTACACTGGGAAGATACGTCCTTGCCAAGGTACCTTCTGATTGGTTTAATAAAGAGATGACTGGCCAACATCTAGTCAGGAAGAGGTCAGGCAGCACTTCCAGGGACAGAGAGGACTCTAGGAAGAAGAAGGTTGAATCTCCAGCTAGACATGGGGAGGAAACAGGAGATAGAAGATGGAAGAGAGGTAAAGCCTTATGGCAGAACGCAGATTAGTATAAATGGGTTAATTTAAGTTATAAGGGCTAGGGGCTGGAGAGATGGCTCAGAGGTTAAGAGCACTGACTGCTCTTCCAGAGGTTCCGAGTTCAATTCCCAGCAACCACATGGTGGCTCACAAACATCTGTAATGAGATCTGGTGCCCTCTTCTGGCCTGTAGGCATACATGGAGACTGAACACAGTATACATAATAAATAAATAAATCTTTAAAAAAAAAAGTTATAAGGGCTAGTTGAGACTAGCCTACGCTAAAGGTCAAACTTTCATAATTAACAAGTTTCTGTGTTGTTATTTGTGAGTTGGCAATCAAAAAAAAAGCTTGCTACAGTGTGTAGAATTTAAATGTGGATTAAGTATTTTGAGGTGGGCATGTTCAATGACAGAGCCATTTTCTAGGTTCTTTCATGACCAGTCCTTTCCCCACCCCCACCACCTGAGACTGGCCTGGCTCCTAAGCCCCTTCTTTTCCTTGGAGCTCCCCCGAAGAGCCATCACCACTCTGACAGCTGCCTTGTTACAAGGGTGTGCTGAGGGCAGTGCACATCTGGCTTTGTTGCCCAGGCGGGGTCAGGAGGTCTGGGAGCCAGAGGCTCAGTCCAGTAGACTGCTGCCAGTTGACCTTCCTGAGAGGTCTGTTTCTACATGGATGCCACTAGGTCAACACCCCACTTCTCTTGCTCACAGGACCCAGGCCATTCCTGAGAGTGACACTGGGAACTCGAGACCGGAAGTGACGCCAGAAGGAAAGGGAGCATAGGAATGATTAGAGGGTCTGGCTCCGCCGGCCTCCTGCGATGACTTGAGCCTTGGGAAGAATGGCCAGCCAACCTCTTGGGAGAAGGTCCTGTGTACAGCACCAGGTCTCCACACAGTAGCTGGTTACAAGACCACTTGTAAAACACCCTCTCGACCCTGGCCCTGTGCGTGAGTGGTGGCTTGGCTCTCTCTCGGGCCTCTTCTCTATTTGCTCTTCCCAGCTCCTCTCTGCCTTTGGTTCTCACTGTCAGGCCCATCTGGCTGACTCCATGGCTTACACCTCGCCATCTGCTCTTAGGATAGACGCCCTGTGGGGGTGGGCACAGGGCTCCAGACCCCGCCTCCCACACAGAGGCACTGGAGAGAACGGCCTTGGCAGGGGGCTCTGGAGAAGGTGCAGGGCTGTGCCCACGCTGCTGCCTTACCTTCTTCAGTCCTTCCACTTGCTGCAGCTCTGTCTGGAGCAGGCAGGACGTGTCTCGCTCCCGCTGTAATTCTCTCTGGAGAGCTTGCCTTTGTTCTTTTTCTGATTTCAGTTCTTTCTCTAGACCTGAGCTGTTGTTTCCCCAAAAGTGAACTAAAGTTAGTTTCAGTGGGAGATTTCCATGGAAGACCTACAATCTGTCATACAAGATAGGGGAACCACCTGAATGGCCATACGTAGACATTAAAATCCTTACATGGAGTGAAACCTGGCCTCTCCGTGTAGGGTCACCTGGGCCCCCAAAAGACCAGGAGCTGCCAGGTACATACTTGGCTGTTACATCAATGAGAGGAAACACTGAGGATTATACAAGGACCTGAGTGGCAAGAAAGTTCAATATCTGCCTGGCTTTTCACAGCCCACATTCAGCAGATAGGAAGATACCAAAGAGGTGGGGAGAGAGTGAGCAAAGTCAGGGGTGAGCTTGGCTGGATCCTGACTCATCTTTCACCAGCTAGGAGGGGCTGGAGACACAGGTGGCCCCTGGAACCTGCCAGCTGTTCTTGTTTGTGAAGCAAGTTTGGGTGACTGGCTATGTCCTACTCTTCCTGAAGACAAGAAGAAAGGCAGGAAGTCACTTCCTCGTCCTCTCAAGCTCATCTCTGCAGGTGCCTGGCTCCTTACCATTGGTCATGCAGCTGGGACAGCTGGAGCTGCAGGGCACTGACCCTCCCGTTGAGCTCCTGCTGCACCTTGTGGCTCCGGTCTTCCGCCCCTTGCCTGGCCTTTTCCGCCTGCTGCAACCTGAAGGCAGTGCCAAGCAGACACATTCAGTCTTTGTAGGGAAAGGGCCACCTCTCAGTCTCAAAACTATTGGCTGGAGTTGCTTGCCTCCTTTCCTCCCTCCCTCCTCTCTGGTTCATTCATTCAGAGACAGGGTCTTGTTCTGCAGCTTAGGCAGTCCTTGAACTTGCTACCTAGTTCAGGCGGGTTTCAAACGTATGATTTTCCTACCATAGCCATAGTGTGTTACCACACACAGGTGTGCGCCACCATGCACAGCTTATCACCTGAACGGGAATTTACAGGAACGCTGCTCCATCTTTCTTTTCTTTCTTCTTTTGTGCGGGGATTAAAGGCATGTGCCACCATTGCCCAGCTAATGGCTCCACTTATTCATTTGCTTATCTGCCATACACATATCCTTCTTGCTGAAGAGCATGCTCAAGTCTTGACCCACCTTTTCTTTTTGAGACTAAGTCTTGCTAGTTTGAAACTAGCTACAGTCCAGGCTAGCCTTCAGTCTGGGGTCCTCCTGCCACAGTCTTTTCTCACCACTAGTTTCCTTCTGTCTGTTTTTCTCCCCTTTTGGGGTGTGTGTGGCACACGTGATCACAGTGCACATGTGGCGGCCAGAGGACAACGGGGTGCCAGTCTGTCCTTCCCCATCTTGTCTGAGACACACAGGGTTTGCTCGTCTACCAGCTTCCGTGGACTGTGCTTTTTTGTTTTCCATCTTGCCATAGGCACTCCAATTTTATAGGCATCTGCTACTGCACATGGCCATGTGGGCTCTACGAATTTGAATTCACTGTTAACTGCAGAGCCATCCCTGACACCTTGTCTGTTTTTAGTTGAGTTGTTTGATTTTTTTATTTTGAGAGTTCTTTATATAGCCTAACATAGGTTCATTGTCAGCTATATGCAAATTTCCTCTAAATTCATAAAAACTCTTTTAATTCTAGCTACGTGGTGGTGCACACCTTTAATCCCAGCACTGGGGTGGGGGGTGGGGGAGGTAGAGGTAGGCAAATCTCTGTGAATTCAAGGCCAGCCCTGTCTACAAGAGTTAGTTCCAGGACAGGCCTCAAAGCTACAGAGAAACCCTGTCTCAAAAAAACCAATCCAAAGCAAAAAAAAAAAAAAACCCCAAACCAAAACCAAACAAACAAAAACAACCCCAAACCACCACCACCAACAGAACCAAAACAAAACCAAAAAACTAAACAACAAAAACCTTTTAATTCTTTTAGTCATGTTTCATATGATGAAAATTTAAAGTATTATTATGTTGCTATTATTACTTGTTTTTCTTTTTGGTTTTTGAAACAAGGTTTTTGTAGCCCTGGCTGTCCTGGAACTCACTCTGTAGACCAGGTTGGCTTTGAACTCAGAGATCTGCCTGCCTCTGCCTGCCAAGTGCTAGAATTAAAGGCCATTGGCACCTTGCCCAGTAAATTTAGAATTTTGATATAGTCTAATTATCAAGTATGAAGTATTCTTTTATACTGTGTGAATATGTGTCACTGTGTGACTGGGTTAATAAAGAATCTGACTGGCCAATATCTGGACAGGTAGAGGTTAGGGGGGACTTGCAGACAAAAAAAATGAGTTTGAAGAAAAAGGGGAGGAGTCTCAGAGTCAGGAGATGTGGAGAGGAGATGAACTTGCTGTACTGAGAACAGGTAGCAAGTCACATAGCTGAGGGTAGATAGGAAATATGGGTTAATTTAAAATGTAAGAGTTAGCTAGTAACAAGCCTGAGCTATTGACCAAGCATTTATAATTAAAAATAAGTCTCTGTGTTATTATTTGGGAGTGGCTACTGGGACACAGAAAAACTCTGCTTACAACCAAGTTTTTCTCTTAAAGGTTGTGGTATTTTGAATAGAAATGGTTCCCACAGACTCATAAATTTAATGCCTGGTCATTAGGGAGTGGTGCTACTTGAGAGAGATTAGGAGGAGTGGCCTTGTTGGAGGAAGCTGTCACTGGCGGTGGGCTTTGGACTTTCAAATGCTCAAGCCAAGCCCAGTGTCTTGTCTCTCTCTCCCTGCAGCCCACTGATCCAGATGTAGAACTCTTGGCTTCTTCTCCAGCACCATGTCTGCCTGTGCGACACCATGCTTCCTGCCATGATGATAATGGACTAAACCTCTGAACCTAAGCCAGTTCCTTAAATTTTTTTTTAAAGAGTTGCTGTGGTCTTGGTGTCTCTTCATAGCAATAGAAACCCCAACTAAGACATAATTATGCTTTTATGCTATCTCAAAAAGAAATCTCATTGCTTACCCCAAAGCCATAGAGTTCCCTATGTCCTAAACAGTTCTAGTTTAGATTCTTACGATGCCCTTTGAGCCAGTTGTTCTGTCAGGCTGGAGGTGTGGCTGAGAGTCACTGCTTTGCAGACAGAGGACCAACTCTCCCAAGGCTATTTGTTGAAAAGACAACAGTGGTGCAGTGGTTCCGCACACCTTTAATCCCAGCACTTCGGGGGCAGAAGCAGGCGAAGCTCAAAATTTGAGGCCAGCCTGGTCTACAGAACAGCCAGGGCTACATAGAAAAATCCTGTCTCGCCCCCACCACACCAAAAAAAAAAAAAAGAAAAAAAACCTCAAAAAACAAAAATCAAAACCCAAACACCTTTGGTCTATGGGATGGCATCACATCTCCCCAAAAGCAGCCATTTATGCATATCTTTTTTGGGACATTGTCATTTTTTTAAAAATTAATTTATTTATTTATTAAAGATTTCTGTCTCTTCCCCACCGCCGCCTCCCATTTCCCTCCCTCCTCCCCCTATTGTCATTTTTTAAAAAAAAATTAGTGTGTGTGTGTGTGTGTGTGTGTGTGTGTATGTGTGTGTATTGGAGGCTGCAGAGACCAGAAGATCTCACAGAGCTGGAGTTGGAGGTCACTCTGAGTCACTCAGTGTGGGTGCTGAGAACTGAAGCTGAGTCCTCTCTAAGAACAGTAAATGCTCTTAACTGCTGCCCCATCTCTCCAGCCCCTGGGACTCTATTCTGATCACCACTAAGTTGATATTTGAATGTGACAGTGGCAATCCACTGTCTAGTTCCAAAGCCTGGGAGGACATTCTGATGCAGCGGCCGAAAGCCTGGGAGGACATTCTGATGCAGCGGCCGAAAGCCTGGCTGACTGGCCAGTGCTTAGGCCAGGCTGGTTGGTGCGCCCAGGCTTTTCTTAGACAGAGGGTGGGCCAAGGAAGGACAGTCACCCCAATTTGTATGTACTTGTCAGTGGGACTCTGTGGTTGTTTCTAGGCCCAAGTAGCCCAGAATCTTCTAGAGATGTCCTGTCTACCAGGGAAGGGATTACCCAGAACCTTCTAGAGATATCCCATCTATCAGGAAAGAAATTACCCAGAATCTTCTAGAGATGCCCTGTCTACCAGGGAAGGGATTACCCAGAACCTTCTAGAGATACCCTGTCTACCAGGGAAGGGATTACCTTTCTTCCATTTGTTTCATGCTTGCCATTGCTTGATTGGTTTTTCCTTCAAAAGAAGTGATGGCTTCATTCTTCTGCTGTAAACTGTTCTCTGCATTCTATGAAACCAAGGAGATGGTTTGTAAGAAGCCCTGCCCTCCTCCACGTCTCTGCATTACAAACAGGCCTCACTGTTAAGAGACTTTGCAACACTCGCAAGAGTATTTCATTAATTGCTGTTCTTCCCTAGAGCCCTGGACAAACCAGGTCAAGGCTCCAGCTCTGCTAGGCGAAGAAAAGCAAAGAGGCGGGAGCTGGGGTCTGCCTGCTGCAGTCAGTGTGGTCTCTGTTCCCAAGCAGCCTCTGGCCTGGGCACACCTGCCACTTCACATGACCCCTTGGAGGGTTCTCAAGGGAGACACTGTCAGCTTCAGTTTCCCATAGAGAGGGAGGCTCAGCATAGAAGAGACTGACTGAGGGCTAAAGAGCCAATCAGAGGCAGGGCTGTTCCACAGCCATAGCTGTGAAACTCACTCTGTCCCAGTTTTAAGCAGAACAGTTACCCAGTCCCAGTAAGCAGGAGGGAGCACTCAGTAGTCACAAGAGATGTACTGTAAGATAAAAGGCTACAGAGAGGCTGCTGCAGAAGGAAGTCAGGAGGACCTCCCCACAGACTGCATTTTCTGGCCCAAGCCTACACTCAGGATAGAACTGATCAAACAGAACAGCATGCTAAGTGTTGTTCAGCTTAAAGAGAAAAGAACCGGAAACTAAGAAACACTCAGACCTGGCAGAACACAGCACCAAGATACTGCAGTGAAATGAAGCCATATCCCACTTACACACAAAGAAAGGTCACCAAAACAGGACATGTTGCAGCTCTAAGAGGAATCTGCCTTCTGATGCTAAATGGGGAAGTGTGCTTCCCTGGAGACGAAATACTTTTGCCGGGATTTGAGGGACACAAAATAGTTTTTTTTTTCTTTTTGGCTGATGCTGAAGAATATACAAACATTTTATTCCTGAGCTGTCTGCACTCTGAGATTCCGCATGTGTATGTGCATGGTGTTGGAAAGTATTCTATCCCTGAGCTGTCTGTATCCTCAGGTCCTCTCCTCTCGCAATGCCCCCACTCCACTCCGTAGGTGTGCATGTTTGAGACAGGGTCCTTTTTTTGTTTGTTTGTTTTTCTGAGACAGGATTTCTCTGTGTAACAGCTTTGGCTGTCCCAGAAGTCACTGTGTAGACCAAGCTGACCTTGAACTCACAGAGATCCACCTGCCTCTGCCTCCCCCGTGCTAGGATTAAAGGACGCCCCACCACCGCCCAACAATGAGACAGGTCTTATTATTGTAGCCAAGGCTGTGATCCTCCATCCCATTCTTAGGAATGCAGGGATTAAGTGATAGTCACAAGTATGAGTCAGTTTTCGTGTGTGTGTGTGTGTGTGTGTGTGTGTGTGTGTATGTATGTTTCCTTTGTTTTTTTTTTTGTGGGGGGGAAATGCTGGGGATGGAACCCAGGGCCTCTTGCATGCTAGGCAAATGTTCTGTCACTCAGCTCTCTTGTGCTAATTTTTAATTTTAAAAATTTCTATGAAAGCAGGTGTGGTGGCACACATCTTTAATCCCAGCACTTGGGAGGCAGAGAGGCAGGCAGATCTTTGTGAGTTTTAAGTCAGCCTGGTAAAATCCCAGGACAGTCAGAGCTACATAGAGAGACCCTGTCTCGGAAAACAGCCAAAGACTAAACACTGGGCTATCAAGGCCCTGTAGACCAGTTCATGCAGGCTGGAGGATGGATCCGTGGCAGAGCAGCTGTCTACATGTCTGCAGTCCCATTTAGTGAAAATCAGACCCAAGTCTTCCCTCTACAAGTCCGGGATTTCAGATGATCTGTCACTGATGAAACAGAGAGACAGGGATACACACCCAGACTTGGTCGTGAGAAGAGGTGAACAAGAGGCAGAAGTGCATTCACTGAACCTGGCTCCCTGATAAACACACGGGAGGGAAAGAGAAGACCAGAGCCTGTGACAGAGGTGACAGCGCTGCCAAAGATCAGGAATCTGCTATGAAATACACTTATGACCACGGTTCCTATTACAAATGCCAGCCTGGCAAACTGACACCAGCAAGCGGCTGGCCACCAAAGCTGCTTCTCTTCTAGAAGGACACAGTCCCCAAACTCCTTCAGAATGTGGCCAAGGATGGTGGTGACCCTTGGGTGACACAAGTGTCCTCTCAGAAGGCAGAAATAAAGCCCACTGCTAGGGGCCGCAGTCTTGGCAGTTCCCACTCAGACAGTGTACTCATTTCTTTTCTAGAGTCCGCTTTCCTCCCGCAGCATCACAGGCTGTGGTGGGTCCGTGTGAGAGGGACAGCTGGCTTCCAGCTCGCGGGTCATGTGGACTGCTGGGGAGCTACTGGTCACAGCCAGGGACCGTGGCCTCTGAGGAGGAGGGCCTGAATGGAACTTCCCAGCAGCAATCTTGGGGCTAACTACAGACAGACAATTATGTGCCCATCAACAAATATTCTCTCTTTTATCTGGCTGTAGCCCAGAAAAGATGGGGTTTCCAGGGCCCTGCAGCTAAGATGATCAACTTGTCCCCAGGGAGAACACCAGAGGCAGCGTACACAACTTCCATCTCACTCTGAGACAGGAAGTGTCTGGCTGGTTTAGACAGCTCCTTTTCCTCTTCCTGCTCAGACGTAGGAACAGTGCCCTGCAAAGCTGCAGCCCTGCCCGGGTCTCTGAGTGGTCGCCAAGAGCAAGCCTGCTAGTCTGCTAGGCTTACCGTGTTACAGATACACTTCCATGCTTCAAAGACATGCTAGTAGATTGTTAGAGCAGGTTCCCTAACACACACTACTATGTCTCTCATGGGCCAAACCTGAAAAAAAAAATGTAAAAACTTAAAATATGGTTCAAAAAGAAGTCCTGGTACCCATGCTGGGAAGTTCACAAATGCTCTAAGGAATCTGGTGTGTCTGGCCTCTTCAGGTACTTGTACGCGCATGTGCATAAATGCACAAAGTCACAAATGTACACAGGTAAATAAAAAACAAATCTTTAAAAATGAATATATGCAGTAGGCATGGCAGTGCACACCTTTAGTCCCTGCATTCAGAATGCAGAAACAGGCAGAACTCTGAGGATAGCCTGATCTGTGTAGTGAGTTCTGGGTCAGCCAGGGCTACCTGCTGAGACCCTGTCTCAAGCAAAACATCCAAAACACTTCCATAGCACGAGGACTGAGGACCAGGCTTGTCTGCTCTGCGTGTTCCGCAGGAAGGAAGACGGCGGAGGGCAGCGGTCCAGACCTGAGGCCAGTTCTCACCTGAACTTTGTGGAACATTTGTAAGTTAATTGCTTTGACTTCCTCCAGCTGCTGGCGGAGGGCGACGAGCGTGTCCTGCTTCTCGTGGGTGTCCTTCTCCAGTAACTTCATGGCGATTTCCATCTCAGTCTTCATTCCGATCTGTAACTCCAGCTCCTTCTCTAGTTCCTTTAAAGACACGGACGAGGAGAGTCTACTGAGAAAGAGGCAGCGTCATATTTAGCTGAGGGGGGGTCCCTGCGGGACAGGGCAGGCCTGCGAGACGGAGAAAGGCCCGACAGGATTCCTTACGTGCATCCTCTCCTCCACGCTTCCTGCCTGCCTGCCTTCTTTCCTCTGGCCCTCCCACCTTCACTTTCCCTTCTTCCTGCTCTTCTTCCCTCCTCTCAGTTTTGGAAAGAGTTTAACTGTGTAACCTAGGCCTTTAACTCATAATCTTCCTGCCTCAGCACCTGAGTTGCCGGGAGTACAGTACCAAGACACGAGCTCTGCATCAAGTCAACAGAACACTGACTTGGCAACATGAGCAGGAGTTCTAGAAGCCAGGTTGTTCCCAAAAGGAAAACAGAAGCCAGGGTCCCGCAGGAATGCTTGACTTGTGCACCAGGAGACCTGACGGGGTAGGGCAGCTTCTGAATGCTCTGGACTTTACCGCAGCACAGGCGCCACCATCCTGAAATAGTTCTTTCTGTCCTGGGTATGTCAGAGCACGGTGCCCCACATACATCCCAGGAAGCCAAGACAAAGCACACAGGAGAACTAGGTTTGGAAAGGAACTACAGCCACAGTGCAGAGTGAAGTGGCCAGAGCCTATGACCGAGGGGACAGACTGGTCTCCTAACAGCCCCTAGAAAAGACTCATCCCCTGGGCACAAACACAAATGACACAGAACTGCAGTGTAAACATGAGCTAAAAAGGACAGTTTCTGTCTCTCCAGGAGTGTCGGCAGGTGCAAGCAGGTTTATGTAGCATGGAAGGCAGCTGACGGACTCTCGCTAAGGATGCTGGGTCCCGCTCACCAGTCGGACTTTCTTCTCCTCCTTCAGCTGCTTCCAGACATCGCTGTACATTTCGTCCAGGCCCTGCCGGGTCTGCTTGTAAGTCTCCAGCTCAACCTTGGTGTCCTGCTTTGTTATCTGAAACACAGAACACCAAGAACGACTCAGTCTTGGAAAGTCAACTAGCAATAATACATTTCAAAATATGTCACAATTTTTTTTTTTTTTTTGAGACAGTTTTTCTCTGTTGCCCTGGCTGTCCTGGAACTCGCTCTGTAAAATAGGTTAGCCTTGAACTCACAAGATCCTCCTGCTTCTGCCTCCTAAGTACTGGGATTAAATCTGTGTACCATCACCCCTGACTTAATTTTCTACCTTTAAAACATGATGAATCGGGTTGGAGAGATGGCTCAGTGGTTAAGAGCACTGACTGCTTTTCTAGAGGTCCTGAGTTCAATTCCCAGAAACCACATGGTGGCTCATAGCCATCTATAATGAGACCTGGTGCCCCCTTCTGGCTTGCGGGCACACATGGAAGGTACACATAATAAATATTTAAAAAAAACATGATGAATCTTGAGCCAGCCATATATCTGATGACTCTTAAAGATACAACAACCTGAAAGATGAGAGATACCAGCAGGCCAATAGATCTGCGTGTGGCTATGTAATAGGGTCTCTCTATGTACCTCAGGCAGGACTTGAACTTGTGATCCTCCTGCTTTTGCCTCTTGCATGCTAGGATCACAGGTGTGTGGCTAACAAGTTAGGCTGGGTAATGGTTTAGTTAATTTTATTTACAAGAGGACAAGAAATCCTGGCGGGAAAAGCTCGTACTCCATCTCCCACACGCTGTTGGCTGCCAGCTTTATCTAGCACTGGGGACTTGTGGTGACTCAGACCTCATCTCTACGGCTGAGCCACCAGCCTTACACACGGCCAGGTGCACCTGCCGCAAAGGAAGAATAACGTGCCAGGGGAGTATGGGAGAAAGAAGGCCGCGCCCAGCCATGGAACCAGGGACAAAATGACAGCCCACTCAGCACTGAGCCAAAGTTAAAAAGAACAAACCGGAACTCTGGAGTACAAAGGCTGGGGGTTTCAGAAGTCTTAAGTGATCCAGATGGTCTGTGAGTGACATGGGTGGGGACACCCTTTGTACATTCTGGAGACTGGGACAGAGTTAAGTCACAGCTGGCCTTGCTATCTGCAGGCTCAGCACCAGTGCCCTCACTGACCACGGGGTGGGGAAAGTGAAGACCACCTTCTGCACACAACAGACTCAGACTTTCTTCCATAGACAAGCCAGGGTGGCCCGTTTCCCTAGCTCACTGTATTTTTTTTTTTTCCAATTTTTAAAAAATAGTTATTTGGCTTTTATTTTATAGGCATCGGTGTGAAGGTGTCAGATCCCTGGGAACTGGAATTACAGACAGATGTGAGCTGCTATGTGGGTGCCAGGAATTGAACCTGGGTCCTCTGAAAGAATGGCCAGTGCTCCTAAAGGCTGAGCCATCTCTTCAGTCCCTCCACAAGTCACATTAAAGCATCCTGAAGGACATGCGATGCGTAGGCTATCTGTGACAGCGGTGTCATTTTATACAAGAGACTTAAGCTTTTACCCATGATGCCAAGGGGCAGCTACAGCCAGAGACTAGCGACGATGTGTGGTGTGCGTGAGAACAACGCCCAGCCGTCAGGTTCCCCTCTCACCTCCACACTCTTTTCGCTTCTTTCGCGAATTAATTCGTTCTGTTCTCTCAGCTGCTGCTGTTCTTCTTGCAGGGATGAAATTCGGTCTGTTGCCGCTGAAAGCTGATTAAAAAAAGATTCCTTACATTTTTTTTAACATCAAAATTAATCTTGCAGTCCAAATGAAGAGCTGACATTTACTTAGATTCTACACAATTTACAATGCATCTTAATGTTTGCTATTTTACTTGCTTGCTTTAAATAAGAAATGCATGGTGCAAACTTCCACAGACATCTATGTAGTAAAACCTCTGCCACATCCGCCTAGCTTTCTGTAACATCCCCATTCCCCCCCATACTGCAAAACCAGTGATCTGATGTTTCATGTGAGTGATAATTTATGTACACATACACACAAAAAAACCCTAGAGTTCAGACAGTCACTACTACAGGAGCACCAAGCAGAAATCTGTTATTATCCAAATATTTAGAATAGGCTTTTTAAAAATTTTATTATTATTATTATTTTTTTTTTCTAAGACAGGATTTCTCTGTGTAGCTCTGGCTGTCCTGGAACTCAGAGATCTGCCTGCCTCTGCCTCCCGATTAAAGGCCTGTGCCACCACTGCCTGGCGGTTACAATAGCTTTTAATGAGAAGATACTTATACCAGTAGAGGGAAAGTTTGTATGGTATGCTCTCACTTTAATTAAAAAAATCAGGCCCCAAATTTGTAAAATAAAGACTATTTATGCTAATGGCATACAAAGGGATGATGAACATTTTTTTTTAAATTCACTGTTCTTTCCAGGGGTGCTTTTGTTTTTTGAGGCAGGGACTCACTGTGTAGCTACTGGCTATCCTGGAACTCGCAGAGATATGCTGCCTCTGCCTCCCGAGTACTGGGTTAATACTGTGCGCAGCCACACCCAGCCCTGTTTGCTGCTGTTGCCTGTGTCTGTGCACTCACGCTGGCCTGTACATGCACATGTGAATACTGGAAGTGACAGTGGGGTCTTCTCCCTTGTCCCACCTTACTTTTTGAGGCAGGGTCTCTCACTGGACCTGGAGGGTGCTGCTTTGGCTAGGCTCGCTGACCCGGCAAGGCAAGAGACTGATCTGTCTGTCTCTGCTTCCCAGCAAGGCGGTTCTAGACACGTGCTGTCCGGCCTGGCTTTGACCCAGGTGCTGGAGATGCTGGCTCAGTTCCTCATGCTTGCGGAGTAAGTATTTTACCACTGACCCATCTCCCAGATCCCCATTTTCAGTATCTTGATAAGCAGAAATATATTTTATTGTCAAGGGAGATTAAAGATTTTGGAGGAAAGAATCAAACTTAAATCATTAGAAACAGGCCCCAGAGGAACCCTTCCTCTCCTGAAATATGTCATCGTGGCTTAAGGGAAGGAAAGTTGAATTTGTTCATGAGTGTGTCTAACAAACAGATATCATGGGAGGCAAAGGGGATGGAACAACGCAGAAGGCAGACCCCTCCTACTTCTAGCTCCAGGCTCCAGTCTGCAGAGGAGGAAGGAGACTGGAGGAGGAGCAAGAAGCAAGTCATCCGTCCACTTTTCCTCAGTGGAGGGATCCTGAGGCACTGAAATGTCCTCTAAAACCCTTCAGCGTTCTCCTCAGACCCCAGGCTGACCTTTCTAAAGAGCAGCTGTGCCTAAGAAAGATCTCGAAAGCCCTGAAGGTGTTCAGCTCTTTTCCAGCCCTCTGGGCAAATTCTCTAAAGGACATCTTTTTTGTTTGTGTTTTGTTTTTTTGTAACAGGGTTTCTATGAGTAGGGCTTGCTGTCCTGGAACTTGTTCTGTAGACCAGGCTGGCCTCGAACTCAGAGATTTGCCTGCTTCTGCATACTGAGTGCTGGGATTAAAGGTGTGCCACCATGCCCTGTTCTGAAGGACATCTTTCCCTACAGTTACTTGCTGAAGAAAACCCCCAGCCAGTGCATTTCAGGTGTCCACTCAGACTCAAGTTGAAGCATCCCACTGGCTGGGGAGCAGTGCTCTGCTCTGAAGTCATCCAAGTCTCCAGCCCTCCCAGTGCTGCTTCCTGGGTATTTGTACCACAGTAAACTGACTGAATCTCTACAACAAAATTACAAAATCTATGCATCACCCAACTTGGAGACATTAAAACAAGGCTTAAAGACATACCGCCTCCATAGGGCTCCAAGACCTGCCTCCCAAGCAAGGTACGTGTGAGTCCCGGGGCTAACGGCAGTGGCTCCTACCGTGACATTCCCCCGAGAATACTGTCTTTGTACCCCTTTCAACTCACACAATCCTGAGCCCCTCCCTTGAAAGTCCCTAAGGAGCCAGTCAGCCTACAGTGAGCTTCATCGGGTCTTTCACTTACAGACCCTCCTAGCCCACTGCACCCTGCCTCCGTGCTGGGGGGTGTCCATTTTTAAGCCCGTTCTCAAAGCTCTCCTCCTTCCTACTACCTGTGGAAAGCCTCAAGGCTGAGCAACCCCCCTCCTGCTAACAGGAGACAAGATGTGTCCACCAGGGAGACTGCCGGGCAGCGGGCAGCAAGCCTTCTTCCTCAGCCTCAGCCCTCCTTCTTCCTGTCCTTTCATTCTCTCTCTTCCTAGTGAGAAAGCAGAGAAAGACCATGCTGTGGGGAGACTGGGTCTGTGCTCGCTAGATGCCAAAACAGGAGGGTGGGCTGGGTGCCTCTCGGAAGGTCCGTGCTCTCCGGGGCAGTGGGGAAGCACACGACACTGCAGCAAAGGTGGGCAGAGAAGAACACTACCATTTCCCATCTGCCCGATGGTGCATTAACCAGAGGTGATAAACTGAGGCCGTCAGGAACTGCCTCAGGACAGGTGTCTTACTAGGAGCCCTACAGGTGGATGGATATAAATGCTCCTGCGCAGTTCCAGCTGAGGCTAGCTCTTCTTCCTCCCAACAAGACGCTCTGGTCAGATGTACCAACATCCCATCTCTCTCTCTTTCTTCTTCTTGCACTATGTATTGAGCCTAGGGCCTCATCTATACTAGACAACACTCTACCATGGCATCCTCTTTACTTTTTCTGAGAGAGTCTCATTAACTTGTTCAGACTGGTTTTGAACTCACTCTCTAGCCGAGGCAGGCTTTGAACTTGTAATCCTCCTGATTCAACCTCCCAAGTAGCTGGAATGACAGGCCTGCTGCCACCAGGCTGACTTAAACCACTTCTCTTAACCTTGGGTCACTCTATTTCGTTTAAGCAAAAGTTACAAACCTCTTCTTGAAGCTTTGAGTTCGTCTTTTCCAAGCCATCTATCTTGGTCTGAAGATCCCCAACCGTGCAGCTGGAGAGAATAAACACACGATAAGTCTAACTTAAAGCAGTGGACTGTTCCCAACTGGTGAATGAGAAGGGGGAATCCTGACTTCCTCCATGAAAGGGAGGCGCAGGACTGCTCAGAATTCTGAGGTAGAAACTCAGTTCGTGTTGATACTGAAATAACAACAATCAAAAACCACTGGCATCTGGGCGGTGGTGGTGTGCACCTTTAATACTAGCACTTGGGAGGCAGAGGCAGGCAGATCTCTGTGAGTTCGAGGCTAGCTTGGTCTAAAGAAAGAGTGGTCAACTTGGTCTGGAGTAGTCGGGTCAACACAGAGAGACCTTGTCTTGAAAAGTCAACAAAACACAAAACAAAACAAAAAGTCCAAACCCACCGTTAATAAATCTCACCCTCCAAATAGTCTACCTATCCCATTACTTGGTTAGCTCCAACATAACAGATGGTAAGAATCAAAACTGTATTGGCAGCCATATTAAACCTTTATGTTTTGTTTCCCTATTTGAGACAGGGTTTCTCTGTGTATCTCTGGCTGTCCTGGAACTCACTCTGCAGACCAGGCTGGCCTCAAACTCAGAGATCCGTCTTCCAAGTGCTGGGATTTAAAGGTGTGCAACCGCCACGCCCAGTCAAGATCATCAGGCTTAAGGGTGTCTGATCCCCTGGAATTGGAGTTACAGGTGATTATGAGCCTTCACTCACTGAGCTATTTTGCCAATACCCTTTAATTTTTTTTGTTGTGTGTACTTTTGTGTGTGTGTGTACATGTGTAGGCCAGAAGCTGACACTAAATCGTTCTTCACCTATTTAAAAAGATTTATTTTAGCTAGGCAGTGATGGCGCACGCCTTTAATCCCAGCACTCAGGGAGGCAGAGGCAGGTGGATCTCTGTGAGTCTGAGGTCATCCTGGTCTACAGAGTGAGTTCCAGCCAGAGCTACACAGAGAAACCCTGTTTTGTTTTCTTTCTCAGCTTTATATTTTTTTTTAATATTTATTTATTATGTATACAATATTCTGTTTGTGTGTATGCCATTACAGATGGTTGTGAGCCACCAAGTGGTTGCTGGGAATTGAACTCAGGACCTTTGGAAGAGCAGGCAATGCTCTTAACCTCTGAGCCATCTCTCCAGCCCTATATTTTATTTTTTATTTTGGTTTTTTGAGACAGGGTTTGTCTGTAGCTTTGGAGCCTGTCCTGGACCTAGCTCTTGTAGACCAGGCTGGACTCGAACTCACAGAGATTGTCCTGCCTCTGCTTCCCAAGTGCTGGGATTAAAGGCATGCACCACCACTGCCCGGCTCAGATTTATTTTTATGTTTATGTGTTTTGCCTGTATGTATTTCTGTATGTGTACCTAGCAGCTAAGGGGCCAGTAGAGGATATCAGGGCTCCTGGTACTAGGGCTACAGATGGCTGTGGTCCACTCATGTGGGTGCTGAAAACTGAACCCAGGGCCTTTGCAAGAGCAGCAACTGTTCATAACTGCTGAGCCATCTCTCTCCAGTCTCGCCCACTAAGCCTTCCAAGACAAGGCCTCTCACTGAATGCCCAGCTCACTGAGTGGCTAGAATGGTTGGCCAAAAAGTCCTTAGGATGTGCCTGTCTCCATGTCCCCAAGGCTGAGGTTATATATGTACACAGTGGTGCTCAGCGTTTTATGTGGGCACTGCAGATCTGAACTCAGGTCCTTGTGCATGTGCAGCAAGCTCCTCACACACTGGGCTATCTGCCTAGCTGCAAGACAGATTTTTATTTATTTTATGTATATATAAATTTTTCCTACATGCACATCTGTACTAAATGTGTGCCTGATCCCTGCAGAGGTCATAAGAGGACGTCTGATGCCCTGGAACTGGAGTTATAGGTGATTATGAGCCAGCACACAGATGCTGGGAACTGAACCCAGATGCTCTGGAAGAGCAGTCAATGCTCTTAACTGCTGAGCCATCTGTCTAGTCTTGCAAAGCTAATTTTTAAGTCTTACTTATACTTTTCTACATTTTGAAACATTCTTTTTAAAAAAATAGTTTATTAATTTTTTAAAAGATTTATTTACTTAGGTTTTTTGAGACAGGGTTTCTCTGAGTAGCTTTGTCTTGGGACTTTCTCTGTAGACCAGGCTGGTCTCGATCTCACAGAGATTCACACCTGCTACTGCCTCCTGAGTGCTTGGATTAAAGGCTTTTGCCAACATGTCCCACCTATATCTATCTATCTGTCCGTCCGTCTGTCTATCTATCTATATTTATTTATTTTGTTTGGTTTTTTGAGACAGGATTTCTCTGTATAACAGCCTTAGCTGTCCTGGAATTTGCTCTGTAGACCAGGCTGGCCTCAAACTCACAGAGCTCCACCTACCTCTGCCTACCAAGTGCTGAGATTAAATGTGTGTGCCACCACTGCCCAGTTTAGATTCAGTTTTTATGTGTATGAGTGTCCTGAATATATGTGCCATCATGAATATATGTGCTCCACATGTGTGCAGCACCTAAGAGGCCGGGTGTGTGTGTGTGTCAGATCCCCTGGAGCTCTGGGCTACTGTGTGGATGTTCTGCAAGAGCAACGAGGATTCCTAACCATTTAGCCACCACTTCAGCTTAAAATATTAAAAGTAATATTTTAAGTTACTTTTATACTATAAAAAATGTAAAGAACCTGCAAACAGGGCTGGAGAGATGGCTCAGAGGTTAAGAGCACTGACTACTCTTCCAGAGGTCCTGAGTTCAATTCCCAGCAACCACATGGTGGCTCACAACCATCTGTAATGAGATCTGGTGCCCTCTTCTGGCCTGCAAGTATACATGCAAGCAGAACACTGTATATGTAATAAATAAATAAATCATAAAAAAAAGAATCTGCAAACAATAGGTTTGATGATAGCAGCAAACCCTATGAAAAAAGCAGGAACTTAGGCAAACCATCTTTGTTGTAAGCATTTTAAATGCACCAGCTCACTTAATTTTCCCCATAACTGGAAGAGGTAAATTATTCTGTTAGACGATTAAACCTAAGCATTTATCTTTTTAAAAAAATATTTATTTATTTATTATGTATACAATATTCCATCTGTGTGTATGCCTGAAGGCCAGAAGAGGGCGCCAGACCTCTTTACAAATGGTTGTGAGCCACCATGTGGTTGTTGGGAATTGAACTCAGGACCTTTGGAAGAGCTGGCAATGCTCTTAACCACTGAGCCATCTCTCCAGCCCCTAAGCATTTATCTTAAGGAACTTACATATATGCATGCATGTATGTATGTATATATGTATGTATGTATGTATATATGTATGTATGGATGTCCTCTCTTACCCAACTTTTTCTTTTCTTTTCTTTTTGGGGGAAGAGTAATGGGATGGAACATAGGTCGTCTCTGACTCACAACCCCAGACTCCCCCTGCCTTTTTTTTTCTTTTCTTTCTAATTTTAAGGTTTTAAGCCAGACATAGTGGCACACGCCTTTAATCCCAGCACTGGAGAGGCAGAGGCTGGTGGATCTCTGTGGGCTCCAGGCCAACCAGGACTACATATTCAGACCCTATTTAACACACACACACACATCTGTGCACATGTGTGCAGGTGCCAACGGAGGTGCCAGCTCCCTCTGGAACTGGCAGTTGAGAGCGGCCTGAGGTGGGTACTGGGAACAGAACTCTGAGATCTCTCTCGTCCCTTCCTTCTTTCCTTCCTTCCTATTATTTGTTTCCTTTCCGGAGGCTGCCTGCCCTTTGTATCTGCCTCTCTGTGCTGTACAAAGAAAGCCAAGGAGGTGCCCAAAGCTGTTCGTCAGGCGGGCGTCCTCTTCCAGGCCGGACACGTGAATGTGGCTTAGGTGGTTACAGTTTTCTCTCGGCTTGGATAAAACTCGGTTATGACAGTTAAAAGATGGATCCCTGCAGAGCTCAGTGCAATAACTGGAGCTGCTGAGGAGCGGGCCTTACCTCAAGTGCCGATTCAGTTCTTCCACGTAATTTTTCTGATCAAGGACATCGGTAATTCTTTCGTGCCTTGTGAAAAAGAGTACACAAAAATAAGGACTTCTTGAACTCATGTCAAACCATTTGTAACAGTTTCCCAATTTTCTTGTAGAAACCAAGAGGCAGTCAGAGCTACGGATGGGATAAACAGAAAACAGGGCTGGACTGAGCTAGCAGCAGGGCTTGAGGACGGGCTGCCCTGACAGCAGGAGCCCTGCAGAGACGGCCCCAATCCCCAGACTGCCTGGGCTGCGCAGGGAGGGCAGAAAGCCATGGGCCTTTGTGCATGGTAAGCACACCTGCCTGCCGCATGCAATGGTTCTGAAAGTGGCTGATGACACAGCCCTAGTCCACAGAAAGAAAAGGATACACATAAGGAAACAAAGACTTTTCAGAATACAATAGAGCAATCTACAGGCCAGGGACGTTTGAGTAAAAATGTCGTCTCCATTTGACAGTCAAGCCTTTCTCTCTGATTAACTGATTCCTTTTTTTAAAATTCCAATCATTTAAAAATGTATGTGTTATTCTGGTGGTGATGGCGCATGCCTTTAATCCCAGCACTCGGGAGGCAGAGGTAGGTGGTACTCTGTGAGTACGCGGCCAGCCTGGTCTACAGAGTGAGTTCCAGGACAGTTAGGAATGTTACACACAGAAACCCTGACTCAAAAAAGCAAAAAGTATGTGTTTTCCTGTTTGTCAGTGTATGCACCATATGCAAGTATCTGTGGACGTCAGAAGAGAATGCCAGATCTCCTAGGACTGGAGCTCCAAGTAGCTGTGAGTCACCTGATGAGGGTGCTCTATAAGAGCAACGAGTGTTCTTAGTCACTGAGCCGTCTCTCCAGCCCTTCCTTTCTTTAAATAACATATGTGTGTGTGTTCGTGTGTGTGCGCACATGTGTGTGTAGGTCAGTGGACAACTTGTCAATTTGCTCACTATGTGGGTCCCCGGGATTGGACCTAGGTTGTGAGGGATGGCAGCAGGCACCTTTACCCACTGAGCCGTCTCACTGCCCTTCTGGGACCTCTTTAAACACACACTGACATATGTAGTTACCATTTCATGCCATTCAAACATTACTGGGTCTGTTTCTCAGTTGCGACTGTTTTATCTTCTTTTCCCTAGTCTTCATTTTACATAGCTCTCCAAGGTAACCCATAGTAATGGCTTGTTGAGTGTCCTTTTTTGGGTATATAGCCATCATATCTAGCTAACATAAATGTAGTACATATATTCATGTACTATATATTGAACATTTTTGGCTTATAGAAAAGCAATACGTATATTTCTTGGCATGATACTTTTCTCATTCCATCATCCTCCAGGCAAATTTCTCAAAGTCTACAAGAAGCTCAAATTTACTCTTTATGTCTACAAAACACATACAAAATAAAACTGAAGGACCGATGGAATGGTTCGGCGGGTAAAGACTTGCTGCGCGAGCCTGAGGATCTAAAGGTGGCGCAGAGTACCAGCTCCACAACTGGAAGTGACCACAGCAGCCTCCGATGGTGAGGGGTGGGGCTAGGCTGGAATGGGCAGAGGAGGTGGGCATGAGAAGGGATCTCTCGCATGCATGCTCTCTTCTGAGCTCAACTCCTGAGACAGCGAGGATGCACGCCACCAGCTTCACCTCTATAGTTAAACTAACTCAACAAAGCTAAACTGCAAAGCAAAACGAAGCCCACATCTTGCCAGCTGGTGAAGAGCTACCAGCAACACAATACTCACTCTCTGCCGCTGTCCAGATCTTGCACGTCCTTCAGGTAGAGGGAAAAGTCGATCACTCCAACCTACAGAAACCAAGGTCCCAGGCTCAGACACATGGCAGTCTTCGTTCCTGCAAACCTGTGAGTCTGAACTCGCAAGTTCACTTCGCTTTGGGTGCATGCACCCAAAGGAGGATCATGGTATTTATAAAGAGCAGCAAAGACTTGGTGGTCCAAAGTAACTTAATTTTATTTCTTTTATTTTATGTGCATTGGTGTTTTGCCTGCATTTATGAACAAAGTAATTTGAAAGAAAATGGGAGAGGAGAGAGGGAGCATATGCTAGATTTCTAGGCTAAAGTGACACTCTTGTTTATCTGACACTTCTTTTTTCTTAAAGATTTATTTACTTATTATGTGTACAGTACATGTATCCTTGCAGGCCAGAAGAGGGCATCAGATCTCATTACAGATGGTTGTGAGCCACCATGTGGTTGCTGGGAACTGAACTCAGGACCTCTGGAAGAACAGTCAGTGCTCTTAATCACCGAGCCATCTCTCTAGCCTCTTATCTGACACTTCTAAGTCCTTCTTTCTACACCTGTCTAAGTTGGCATTTTTTTGGGGGGGTCAACTTCACACAAGCTAGATTTATTTGATAAGAGGGAACAATTGATAAAATGCTTCTGTGGGCAAGCATGTGGAATTTTCTTTAGTGATGATTGATGTGGGAGGGCCCAACCCAGTGTAAGTGGTGCTACTGGGCATGTGGTCCTGGATGGTATAAGAGAGGCTGATACGAACCACAACAATGACCAGAATGTTACAACAAGCCTAAGGATGCAGTAGTGGCACAGATACCTCAGCAGTAACCAACTGAACTAGCTGAAAACCACTCAACAAGAAGGGAACCATGCCTGGTGCTGGAAACCTAGCCAACTACTCTGGACTAGTGAAGTCATGGATCTTTGAGAGGAACCTACAACCACCACTTTACTAAACCAGTATAAATCCTAACTACATTCTAAATGTTTATCCTTATACACACAGATAAGTGCCGACCTCACCCCCATTAAGACAACTTCTCTTTGCAACAGATGGAGACAATTACAGAAAACCACAACCAATCAAAATGTAGAGTTGTGGAGCCCAGTCCCAATGGACACATCTACAATATAAGTCCCGCCCTAAGGCGCAGGGATCATCGTGAAAGAGGGGAGAGAAAAACTTTAGGAGTCAGAGAAGCAGCGAGTTTGCTGTGAGATTGTGTCTCCAAGGAGTGTCTGAAGCCATACTTATGAAGTCTCATCAACATGGCTGCCTAAACATGAGTTGAACCAGACAACAACAACAGACACGCTAATGTGCATGGGGTGTGTGTGGAGGGGGAAGCCAGCGAGGCTAATGTGCATGGGGTGTGTGTGGAGAGGGAAGCCCGTGGGGCTTCAGCCTACACAAAGAACTCCAGGCAACTAAGGAATGCCGAGAGCTGGAGAAAGTCTTCTTCAGAGAACACATACCAATTGTTTATCTAATACTAAATGATCAGCCCTGAAAACACACATACAAATAACGTTATACAGACTGGGCAGGTTGTATTTATGTATTTAGGAATACACACACATGATTTTTTTTTTAAGGGAACACAACCTTCAAAGAAAGAACAAAACAAACAAGCAAAGAGCCAACTTTGTGTTTTACTAAACTGTGGTCCAAATAGGAGGATGACCGTCTCCCAGCTCAATCTATGGGGAACACAGGCCTAGGAGGAGACAGAGGCCCACAGGAAACTCAGTGTAGTTTTCCTCCTAAGCAGAAGCACATGATTCAGGGGTATAGGAAAAGAATATGACACAATGACAATGGAAGACAGCAACAGTACTGTATGGGAAAGCCACACACTAACTGTTCTGTTTGAGTTAAAACAGGTGCCAATCAAGTAAGACATCTGATAGCATTCAATGTTCACTTCTAATAAAAATAGAAGTTAGAAAACCAGAATAAAATTGTGTATATATTTATATTTTTCAGAGATATCCATCTGTTTATCTATTTATGTATCTATCTGTTGAACCTGCTTGTATATCTATGCACCAGTGCATGCAGTGCCTGTAAAGGCCAGAAGAGGGCGCTGGCTCCTCTGTAACTGGAGTTAGACAGTTATCTGTCACGTTGGGTGCTGGGAATTAAACCTGGGTTCTCTGGAAGTATAACCAGTGAGCCATCTCTTCTCCAGTTCCATCTCTTTCTTTCTCCTTCCTTCCTTCCTTCCTTCCTTCCTTCCTTCCTTCCTTCCTTCCTTCCTTCCTTCCTTCCTTCCTTTTTCTTTTTCTAGACATGGTTTCATGTATCCCAGACTAGCCTTGAACTTGGCTATGTAATGAGAATGACCTTATGATCTTCAGCTTCTGATCTCCTGGCTCTACTTCCAGAGTGCTAGGATTGCAGGCATGTACCACCATGCCTGGTTTATGGAGTTAGGAACGGAACCTAAGACTTGTGCAAGCTCTGCATGCACTCTACCAACTGAGCCCCACCCCTGGATCCACCATGTTACTTCACTCTCCTGAGACATCCCCAGCAGCTTTCCCACCTCCCCAGCCCCGCAGTCTGCCCTAACCTCTACCAAAGGCCTCTTGCCTTCTGCTCCTTTCTTAGGTTCAGCACATGTCTGCAGATTTCATGTCAAAAATTCCTGGTCTGATTCATTCCATCAAAGCCTAAATCCCATAGTACCTGAGAATCCAAGTCTTCTCCCTTTAAGCAGAGATTGGCATCCAGAACATTGAGTCCCACCAGCAGGCCGACAATCACCATGCCCTCTTCCTCCATCATTAGTGCCTCAGGCTCATAGAACTCACTGCAAGAGACACAGGCCAGGGGCTGCTCAGGAGTCCCTTTTCCACTACCCTCACCCAGGCCAGCGGCCTTGCCACCTGGCTTCCTGCTCTGCCCTGGAGCGAGGGACCCTCAGGGAGTTTCCTTCCTCCCACCATGTCCACTGCTTCCTCTTCTGCTATGGTTAGATCTAAGTGTCTCTCAAAGACCCACGAGGTAAAGTTGCTCCCCAGCTTGGTGCTGTTAAAAATGCAAGCGGGGCCAATTGAGAACAGCAAGGTTGCTGTGGGTGTGCTCTGAAGGGGGCGTGACCTTTGCCTTCTCTTTCTCATTTTGTGACCAGGAAGTCAGCAGTTTTTATTCTACCTACCACACGCCTCCTTCACAGTCTATTGCCTTGCCACAGGCACAAAGCAAGAGGACCAATTATGGACTTAAACTGTGAGCCAAACAAGCCTTTTCTTTTCCTTTCACATACGTACACCTGTTTGTGTGGGGTCATGTATGTGGATGCACATGCGCATATGTGTATACATGCCAGAGGTCAACCTCAGGTGCCTCAGAAGCCCAGGGCTGGCCTGGAAAGGGACAGTGGACAGAGGCACCTGCCAACAGCCTGAAAACCTAAGTTGATCTCTGGAGCCCACTGGGCTGAAGGAGAGAACTTAGCTGTGTGTTGTAGTGCACATCTTTAATCCCAGCAGAGGCAGAGGCAGGAGGATCTTTGAATTTGAGGCCAGCCTGGTCTACAGAGTGAGTTCCAGGACAGCCTTCAAAGCTACAGAGAAACCCTGTCTCGAAAAACAAAAACAAAACAAAACAACAAGATTTATTTATTTTACAAGTATGGTGCTCTATCTGCATATATACCTGCAGTCAAGAAGAGGGCATTAGATCCCATAATAGATGGTTCTGAGCCATCATGTGGTTGCTGGGAACTGAACTCAGGACCTCTGGAAGAGTAGCCAGGGTTCTCAACTGCTAATTCATCTCTCCAGCCCTTAAGTTTTTACTAATACTAAGAAATACACACTTTACAAACTGGATATGAAATGTCCCTAGTTCAAGATATTTTATTCTTGTTATCATCTAATTTGGTAAGTATCATTTTATTGAAACTTAATTGAATGGGCTGCCAGTTACCAAATTATAAGTATTAATATTCTGGGAGATTATCTTCATAATTTCAAAGCTGTGAGTCTCATTTACAATGCTTCTGAGATATCGAGGCTCAACAGAGAAACACTTCAAACCAAGCCTCAGAGCACTGACGACTAGTCATGATTTCAGTCTTAGCTCTGAACATTCCAGTTCCTTTATTTCCCAATGATCTACAGGCTACGCTGCTACTACAGAGTAAAAGACAAACACATGTGGAGTACCTTAAGAGATGCTTATTGTCTATGAGGACTTTCAGATAATCTGCCAGCTTCTTTTGCATGAGAGCAAGATAAAGCCAAGCTCTGCCTCTTCCCACGGCTGTCCTGGAAATCAGAGAATCAGACTGGTAAGGCATAACAGCAACAAATACAGAAGGAAACAAATTATCTGGGTGAAAACACACACACACATACAGAGAGAGAGAGAGAGAGAGAGAGAGAGAGAGAGAGAGAGAGAGAGAGAGAGAGAGAGAGGAGAGAGAGAGAGGTGGTAGTTTGGGGTTAGAGAGGTTCCGTGTGGGGAGAGAGAATGCTTACTGTACAAGCTAGGTACTTTTTGAATTTTGTACATTAGGCATTTCAAGTGTTCGAGTATCATAAAATTTCTGAGGCACGGACTCATACATGCAATTTTATGTTTGTGCTAAAATATGATGTGAGATATACATCGTGGGCTGGAGACACAACTGCAATTTCCCTGATTCCCACACTCCACCTGGAGTGGGTCCTTCAGTCCTCTGCAAGAGCGAGAAGCACTCTGATTGCTGAGCCATAGCTGCAGCCTCAACAACAAATTTAAACTACGTGAACCATGTGGCACGAGGCAACTGCTGTCTTCGTCCTGAAGAGCAGGAGTCTGAGGTCCAGGAAGTTTCAAGTTTTAAGGTCACGTGAATAGTGTGCAGCACAGGTGGGATTAGATTAGAGCCTAAATTGGGTATGGTTCCTGCCAGAGTGTTCCAAACCAGAGGAGAATTGAGGGGAGGCAAACAGCAGAGAGTAAAGAGCAAGCGTTCAGGCGATATCACTACTACTTACTCACTTTAGTTCTGGAAGATTCCTGACACTGGTAGCTATATCTGATGCTTCGGGGCAAAGTTTTTCCACCAGCTCCAAAGGCCCAAAGAAAGATTTATTTTGGCCAATGAAACTCTTCTTAACTAAAAGGAAAAAAAAACAACACTGTTAGACACAAGAACAGGGCGTAGTTTCTTCTGGGGGCCCATAGTCTCTCTTTCAAAAGCCAGGCAGTGTGTCACAGCCCCACACTCAATTCTGTGAGCCACACTTTTGGACTTACAGTGGCCACAGAACAAATCAGCTCTGCTTTCCTTTGGCAGTGAGCTTCCTCTGTCATCGTGTTCTTTCTTCAAGAACTTGCTGCTCTGGGAGTCCTAGGTCATCAACTGGGACCCTCCTTTGCACCTGTAGCTTACCTATCAAAGAAGATGGACCTCACCACTCGGGGCTGGGCACCCTGCATACGTGCTTTGGCAGCTGCTGAACTTCTTATTCGTGAGTCAAAAAAATTAACCTTTGGAGCACCCACTACGGTTTTCTCTCATCATAACCTGTCTAACCTCTTAACCTACAAAGGTCTACAAACCCTACCCCCTTCTCGAGTTCTTTCCCTTCAGGTGGCGCTGATGGAAGATACTCCCCT